AAGTAGAGAAAAAACTGGGAAGAGAAATGAGAGTGCAAGAAAATAATGAAAAACAAGTCTTGCTCAAGGAGACCCAAAAAAAACACCAAAGAAAATAACACCTTAAAAAATAGCCTAACCCAAATGGCAAAAGAAGTCCAAAAAGCCAATGAGGAGAAAAATGCCTTAAAAAGAAAAATTGGCCAAATGGAAAAGGAAGCCCAAAAGCTCACTGAAGAAAATACTTCCTTAAAAATTAGAATGGAACAAATGGAAGCTAGTGACTTTATGAGAAATCAAGACATTGTAAAACAAAACCAAAAGAATGAAAAAAAAGAAGACAATGTGAAATATCTCATTGGAAAAACAATTGACCTGGAAAATAGATCCAGGAGAGAGAATTTAAAAATTATTGGATTATCTGAAAGCCATGATCAAAAAAAAGAGCCTAGACATCATCTTTCAAGAAATTATCAAGGAAAACTACCCTGATATTCTAGAATCAGAGGGTAAAATAGAAGTTGAAAGACTCTACCAATCACCTCCTGAAAGAGATTCCCAAAGGAAAACTCCCAGGAATATTGCATCCAAATTTCGGAGTTCCCAGGTCAAGGAGAAAATACTGCAAGCAGCCAGAAAGAAAACTACATATATATGTATATATATATTTCTCCAGATATCCAGATATATATATCTATATGGATATCTGGAGAATAAAATTAAGGGGTGAGAGAGGATTATACTGGGAGAAGGAGAAAGGGAGAGGTAAAATGGGGGTAAATTATCTCACATAAAACAGACAATAAAAGGCTTTTACAGTGAAGGGGAAACAAGGGAAGGTGAGAGGGAATGAGTGAATCTTATTCTCATAGAATTTGACTTAAGGAGAGAATAACATACACACTCAATTGGATATGTAAATCTATCTTACCCTACAGGAAAATAGGGGGAAAAGGGATAAGATAAGAGCAGGGGGATGGTGGGGGGGCAGATTGGGGAAGGGGGTAATCAGAAGAAAACACTTCTGAGGAGCAGCAGGGTCAAAAGAGAGAATAGAATAAATGGGGGGTGAGGTAAGATGAAGGGAAATATAGTTAGTTTTTCACAACATGACTATTATGGAAATGTTTTGCATGACTATAGATGTATAACCTGTATCACTTGCTTGCCTTCTCAATGAGGGTGGGTGAGAAGAGAGAGAGGGAGAAAATTTAGAACCCAAAGCTTTAAAAAAAATTAAAATTGTTTTCACATGCAACTGCGAAATAAGATACACAGGCAATGAGGTATAGAAATCTATCCTGCTCTACAGGAAAATAGAAGGGGAAGGGGATAAGAGAAGGGGTGGAGATAGAAGGGAGGGCAGATTAAGGGAAGGGGTATTCAGAATGTATGCCATCTTGGTGGGGAGAGGGACAAGATGGGGAGAAAATTTGGAACTCAAAATCTTGTGGATGTGAATGTGGAAAACTAAAAGAAATGAATTAATAAAACTAGAATGGACCTTGAAGATTATATAGTCCAATGTCTTTATTTTACAAACTGGAAAACTAAGGTCCATAAGTGTGACTCAACCAAGTTCACAAGGCAGTATGTCATAAAACCTGGATCTGCACCTATTATTCTTTCCATTCTGTAACATTACATTACTTCATGAATGTGCCTATTATTTTTAATCCTCTATTATATTTTCATCTAGTATGCTAGCTAGTTTTTATTTAATATATTTGTTTTTTTAAAAAAGTATATAGATTATAGCATACAGATCATGGGATAATTGTGTTTCTAATAAGAAATAAATTTAAAGTTTAAAATAGATGCAAAGCAACTAAACAACAGATTTCTTAGGGAAAGGAAGCTATTTTTTTTAAGGAAATCACAAAACAATGAAAAATAATAGCCCTAGAGCCATTATCAAAAAATAAAAAAGTACTCCCCCCCTTTTCATATAAGTTTAATTTGTAGTCTTATGGTGTAAGTTTTTGGCCTACATGTTGGAATCAAGGCAGACAAGGCATCCCTTTCATGCCTCTCTGCCAAACCTTCTTACTAATAATAATTATTCCTGGCTCCCATCCCTGAGAGTTCAACAAATGCTGAAATGTTCTTTGGTCTTCAGATGCACTTTTAGCCTTGGATCTACAAGTACAAGGAAATATATCACTGAATATGAATATATACATATATATATATATATATTTTGGATCAGGACTAGGGAGGGATCAATCTCACAAATTATCTGCAAATTTATGATTACTAATTACATATCTATTTACATATATGCATTATCCATAGTTTCATATAATATGTAAGTACATATAACTATAATCACACAGATATATATATCACTTTACTTTAGGTACCCTGGCCTAAATCATGTATTTTTCATATTCTTTATCAGTTATTTTCTATCTCTGCATCAGAAAATATTAATAAGGCCTTACTACATTTGACTAAGGTCCCTTGAAACTTTAGAAGTCTGTGAGTTTATTGTGTGTACCTTGGAAAACAGATGTGTGTGCATTAACTTCCCACTCAACTATACCTTAAAATCATCATTATTAATAACTTATGCTAATAGGAATGAAAACTGAAAAGTACCTTGGAGATCATTTAATATGTTGTATCATTCTTTAGATGAGGAAACTGAGGCCCAGAGACATCAGAGGGCTTGAGCAGGGTCACAGGAATAGCAAATCCAGGATTTGCCCCTAAACCCTTCATATGACACAAAAAGTTAATCAGTTTCTTGCAAAAAAAAAAAAAGTCAAATCATAATTACCACATTGAAGAGGTGTTTTATTTAACTGATTGGTAAATTCAATAAGATCCTTGAGAGCTGAAACTATGTCATATATCTTTATATATAATACATTACTCTAAACATAGTAATCATTTAATAAGCATTAATCAAATAACTTAAAGCATCATGACTATCGGAAAGGTTCAGAAGACCTGGCTTTGCCCCTGTTAACTAGCAATGTGTTCTTGGGAATGTCAGTTTAGTTTCTGGGCCTCAGTTATTTATTTATTTTACGTGCAAAATGAGACCTGTGGACTGACTGGTTTCTAAGATCCGTTTCCAGCCATACAATTCAATGATTCTGTTCTATGACTATCAACAAACAATCATCTAGTTACTTATAGCAAAAACATGGAAATGGAATTGTCAGTTTGGCTGACCCCTGACCCATATTTTTATACTATGTTTTTCCTCGACCAAGGAGTGAGGAAGTTTCTACCCCCTTTTCAGTGTCCTACTCCATGGAGCAACTATGGACATGTATTTCAGTCCACAGAGCTTTCTTGATTTGGCCTTGATCCCCAGGTCTTTTGATGTGGTCAGCACCACCTATTTATTTAGTCTGGATTACATTAATTTTACATGTGAACCTTTCAAAAGTTGATCCATAATTCCAAATTAGTAACTAGCAGAACCTAAGGTTAGTGTTCTCTAACTTCCTTAGGAAAGGATCCTTGTAGACAATCAAAAAAAAAAAATAATCCCTCAGGCAAGATTGTGACATTATTAGTTTTTTATTCCCTCCCTCTGACTGCAAATCATGTGAGTTGCAGAGTTTAAAAATGGAACTTTATAAACATAAATTCACACGAAAGAGAGAAGAGAATTCATTTTCACAAAGAAATAACACAACACAATTGGGAATTCAGAACATTTATTGCAAGAGCTGAATAACTGTAAATAACGTTGAACTGGCAAAGCAGTAACAAGGATAACTGTTTAGATATTTATTCTGTCAAAGTCATCAAACACCCTTCACAAACTGACATAAGTACTGCAATAAGCAATGCACCCCCAACCCATTTTATACCATTATAATGTGAAAAAAAAGTGAATTGCTATATACAAAATAACTTTTTGGTAAGAACAAATTAACTATCAGATTAGCAAACTTTATTTATCATTATTATTTATTATCTTTAAAACTCATTTAATTGTAGTGTTAACTTTCACTTTTCTCAGTAAGGACTTTTTTTTTTTTGCATGCTATTTATTTGTTTAAATCATCTGTCATGCCTTAACAAAAACCTCCTAAGAATGTTCAAATTTGAATTTGTTTGTACGTGCAACTGAGATCTTATTAACATTAGGAGTCACTCTTTGGGTTTCACTGAAGTGACATGATGCTGGTACCTGCCAGGCATTGACCAACTATGATAACAAACAGTTAAACAGCACTAATTAGAGATTTAACCCTTTATTTTCCCCCAACTAGCCTACCAGGAGAATGCTCTGTTACATCATGAAGGCACGACACATTAAATATTTTGTGGCTATGGTCTAAAACACGTGTTACTACAACATTAACGCAGATGAGCATAAACACAAAAGCTGCCTTTTCAGCAATACAAACTGTCTTAGTTATAGACACACATTTATTCAAATATAACTACTATTTTTAAATTATGATTTTATTTCTTCCATGTGCTCCAATTGTGATTCATTTCGATTGCCTAGGTGACAATGACCTTTCTGATCACTTTGAATTGGATCACTTCCTGAAGAATATTACTTTTCCATTTCTCACTTTCAGATGCTACTTATTAGAGATTATTTTCAATTTTGCTGCTTTGAAAAAGAAAAAAAGTTTAAAAAAAATATAGGTTCAGACTTTTCCAGCCCTTGCATAAGTCTTTTTGTTGTTCAAACATTGCTGATGGGTTTCTTTGCCAGAATCACGTGCTGTCATGCAAGAAGCAAGATTTCAGAACCTTTTTGTAAGAAAAACACAAGTATTTTGATTTCCTTGGAACAGTGCATGTCAGACAGACTGTTAACACAGACACACCATCACTAAAAGAAATAATAAAACAAAAGTGAAAAAAAAAGAAATACCAAAAAAAAGAGGAAACAACCATAAGACACAGAATTATGCTACAGTATATTTTAGGTGAACGTTATAGGTACACAAAAATCATTAGTAATAACTTGCTTCTATTTACAAATACTTGAACACTGATTGACTGACAAGTGTCCACTAACATTGTTAATAGCACAATAGGTTTAAGTTTATCATTTAAGTTGTTTGAAGTATGATGTCAAGTATAGTGGTCCCAGCACAAATTAATGACAACAAGAGTACAATTTTCTAACTGGATATGCTTGTCAATCATTGCAATCCTTTGACCTTTCTCACTTTCCAAGTATATCTTCTGTTGTTCATAGCAGCAGTCCAGAGTCAAAAAACAAAACTCACAAAGGGATATTTGCACTATAGAGAGATATCTGTGGAGTTTACTCAATTCTGGTAAACAAAACCACAGGAGTAGAAGTATTTTCTCCCTTGAGTTGCATGACATCATACTTTTCATAGTGCTAATGCAAAGATGTGCACATCCCTGTTATAAGAAGCATAGTTCTAGAGATCTACCGAATACGTAAAGCTCTGACACACGCAGTATTAGCAAGTCTACATAGGCTAAAGTCATTCAGTCCCAAGCAACCATTTCTTATAGTTGGTGCTCCTTGGGACTCTCAACAGCTCCTGATGCTTGTTTATAAGACTTCAAATTAGCCAATGGTATGTCACTCATGTGGCTGCCACTGTTGAAATGGGCTTCATTGGGACCAAACTGCTTCCGGTCATTGAACTGGTTCCTGTTGCTATCTTCTTTCCAGGTCCTGGTCAATGTGTGCCCATTCACCAGTTTGTCCTTCTTCACCCATTCCTTTTGAGGAGCAAAGGTGGAGAGAGGAGATTTGGGCTGTTGGTAGGGACCCAGGCCAGGAGGCATCCAGCAGTTATCGGAATGACCCAACACCAAACATTCTTGGGTGCACATCTCTGTAGCTTCAGCTAATCCTCGGGGACCCAAAGGCCCATCTGTACAAGACAAGACAAAAAAGAATAAAGGAAAAAAAAACAGGTTAGGATTTCTTATGTAACTATTACTTTCATAAAAGGCCATTATACTGAGAATTTTGCTTGCTTAGGAGAAGAGCATTAATCTGATTAATAAAAAATGGCTTTCATTCAGTCCATCCTTCTTCATTAGAAAGCTTCAAGCAAAAGCTGGAGGACCACTTCAATGAGGATGGCCCAGAACAGATTCTTTTTTAGGTATGTGATGGAATTAAATGGCCACTGAGGTCCCTTCCAATCCCCAATTTGCCTCTTGTCCCATTTCTACAAAATGAGAGTGAGTTAAAGTGCAGTAAAATGACTTGAAAAATTAGTTTCTCAAGTACAGAGTTAAATTTATATATTTTAACTCAAAAACACACACACATATTTATACAGACATATGTATTTATGCACCTGTTTCTCTACAAACTCTCCCATAACATATAGAACAGCAGTAATAGTTTCTCAGATCCCATAGGTGGAAGAAAGTAGCTATATGAAACCATGGGAAATGGTACAATATTATATTCATTCAAGATTTAAATACTATGGAAGATAAAATCTACAATTCCAAGAAATAACATGCAGAAGAATTACTTGATACCCAGGACAATTAAAAAGAGACTGCACCAAGGACTACACATATAAAATAGAAAACTTGGCTATTTGCCACATCAGCATTAATGTATTGCTTCTTTCATGAAGCTACAGAGAAATGTGTTTAGAGATTTTCAAAATCCAACATGTATTAAAGGACTATTTTTTAACTGTAATACACTATTAAGAGCACAGCCGGCCAGCTGCAGGCACTCTGAAATCAAATTCAGCATAGAAATCATCTATGCTGCCAACATTTGCCTCCTCCTCTATGCTAACATATTTTTAAGGCTTCCAAAGGTATAAAACTGAAGTGAAGATGCTGATTTAATCACATATGGTATAGTATTCACGACAATATTAATAAACCACCTCTTTATCTTCATGAGGCTATGTGAAACATAAATTTGAACAAGGATTTCAATGCTAAGGTAAGAATGTAAAACTTTTTTAAAAGAAAAAAAAATCAAATCCAGTTTAAATAACAGTCAGTTGTGGAAACAAGCTTTTTTTTTTTTTTCCTTGATTAAGCAGTCAAATGATAAGTGATAGCTTGGAAATTACGATTGATTTTTCAAATGAGGTTAAGTGGATAGGCATGAATGCTACAGGCATGTAGTACTTTAAAACGCAGACATTAATCAGTAGGAAAAAAAGAAAACATTTCTGCTAGTTTGGATCATGTCAGCAATAAATGTAATTTAGTAATTAGAAGATACTAAATTTCAAAGTTATTTTTAGCTAGCACTATCATATTTGTAAGTACCCAATAATTATGGGTGGTGGTTGTGGGATTTAAAAAAAAAAATGATAGCCATTAGCCTTCATAATATTCTGAGATGGTTAGTTCTACAGGTTAATTATAGCTTTCATTTTTGAACATTCCTATCTGAATTAGGGAATCCCTTTCACAGATCAGATGCAGGCAAATTTAGGAGGAGGGAAGGGTGGTTTGTAACAACAGTATTATCTGAGCATAGAATAGGAACTGTAAATATTAGGGAAAGCTATTTAAGCTCATTTAAGCATATATAGATTATTTTTTGCCCCAAATTATAAAGAAACCATTCACACAATGTCTTTCACATCTCTGTCTTTTTCACTCCCATTGCCACCACTCTGGTCCAGGCCTTCATCAATCAGCAGCCTGATTTTCCGTGAATGCTGCCTAGCCAGGTTTTCTTATTCCAGTCTGTTCTCTCACTCTAATCCATCCTGCAACCCACTGCCAGACTAATCTTATATTTGTTTGGCTTTCTTTCAGTGTGCTAACCTACCTTTAGAAAGAAAAAAAAAGAACAAATGCAAAGTTCATACAAACAAAAATAAACCAAAAGTTCATGTTTGTATATAGTTCTTGAGTCTAGTTGTTTAAAGTCTTGCCTTCATTAGTTTGCCATCCTCTGCTTAAAAAAACTTTCAAAAGCTTCTTCTTTCATAGCACTTCATCATTTGTAATGGTTCCTTTCATGGTCCTCTATCAGCTGTCTGTTAAGATATAACGTTGCTACTACTCACGATTTCCTAATCTGCTTGTCTCGTGTCTCCTCACTGTTCTCAAACTGTGCCAAGTTCAATGCAAACTCCAAGCCTTATTTCATGTTAGTTTCTTCAGTAGGAGATTCTTTCTCCTTTCCCTGCTGATCCAAATCTAACCCAAACTTGAAGTTCAAGTGCTCCAAGTCCTTCTTCTTTTCTGAAACTTTCCTTTAAGTAATTTAACCACGGATGATCCCATGTCCTCTAAACTTCTCCAGTATGTGTAGATCATACAACATCATCGCCTGGTTTGTGATTGCTTCCTGTGTATTAGTCCTCTTTCTCCAACTAGGCCCTTAAAGGAAGGCATTACATGCTGTGTTTCCATTTTTATTCTTACTCAATGACTAGAATCAGTCCTGAGCACATCAGTGAGCATCCAGTAAATACATAAGGAAAACCTAGAAATTACAAGAGATCATTTAATTTATCTCAACTTGATCCTTGGGTTGTACTTCTCCATAACAGTCTTAGAATCAAAAGCCCTGGTTGAGTTCAAGTCCAAGCCCTGCCTTTTCACAAGCTGTGTAACCATAAGCAAGTTAAAGAAGTTATCTGCTGAGCTTTAGTTTACTCATTAGTAAAAGAGGGAAAATAATGCTTATGCTACATTGTGTATGTATCACCTTGCTGCACTTTTATATGTTTATGCTGTCTCCCCAAAGTGAATTTAAGCTACTTGAAAGGAGATTTTTTTTTTGTCCATTTGTTTGTATTTGTATCTCCAGTGCCTAGGACGTAGGTGCTTGTTGATTGGTTTAGATATCAATGGAGAGGGAAATTAGTTTGCCATCAATCCAAGATCTAAAACAGCCTTTGTGCTCATTAATGTCAATAGTTCATCTCTATTCTGATATTTCCAAAAATAAAAACTGATTTTTTTCCCCAGAGAAATCAATAATTGAAATAAAAATTAGGTTTTCTTCCTATTCGTGGGAAGAGAGTAAGAGAAAATTTGATACTGTAAGGTAGCCTGATTCAACAAACAATGCTGAATAAATCAAGAAAGAAAAGTCTTTTGGGGATTTAAAATGTATGTGTGCCGCACAGGAAGGAGAGTATGTGTACATTCACAGATAAGACAGATTTGGAGAAGTATATTTCATTCTCTTTTCACTTCTCATTTGCAAGTTAATAGACAGTTAACAAAAATGATTTCAGTTGTAAAATGATATAGTTTATATCAATGAATGAAGGTTTATCTAGTTAACTAAAGACAGAAAGTTCATGTTCTACTAGAATATGTGAGTATGTGTGTGTATATATAATTATGTGTGTGTGTGTGTGTGTGTGTGTGTGTAAACAATTATTTTATTGGGGGAGAAAAAAAGCTGGGGTCCTTTAAATAATGTCAATTCCTCCATGAGTGATTCATGTCACATGATTAAGTTCCTTAAATGAAATTTTCAAGGTGTTAATTCAGTCTGTAGATGGATTTTTATCAAAGTTTTGCTGATTCTTAGGTAAGTCTTTTAGATAAAAACCTTAGCAGCTGTGCAGTCCTCTGTGAGGTGGCACTTTTTAGATGATATTTTGATTATTTTACCCCTGGGACATGAAACAGAAGAAAAAATAGGTAACCTTTACTGACGAGCCATTTAATTCCACAAATATCTGTCATATCCAGTTGGTTTGAGGCATAGAAAGAAAAATTGGTTTTAAATACACTACTAATGAATAATGTTAAGAGATTTTGGAAGTTTCCTTCTACAGGTTCCATGTCATTTTTTGGTGAGAAAAAACTTTATAAGCTTTAATATGATATAAAAGAAATAAGACTAAGTCTAGAGCAATATATCTATATATACCTGATATTTTTCATTTCTATGATAGAGAATAATAATGAGACTATAACTATTTCATACTCTTTAAAGCATTCAGTCTACAAAAGATATTTTTAACCATATCCAAAAACATAATTGTCAGCAAATGTCAATAAAATAAAATAAAAATGAAATAAATATTTAACATGTAAATTGGACCTGAGAAAGTATAATGTTTGTTTTATGGTTATTAGTTGGGTTCATGGACCGTACTAAGATTTTTTTTTTAATGGTAGTTTATAATTTTAACTCATCCCCTTAGCTTGTAGCAATGCTTTGTATAATTGTTTCCTGAATACCTGTTAATTTCATAATTAGTCATTTCCATCCTTTCTCTTAAAGAAAATTAAAATCCCTATATTCAGTTTTTTCACACTGAATTCCTTTATTGATTTTTTTTCCCCTTCCAGTATTTGTTTCCAGTGCAATCTGTAATACATGAGCTCAGTTATCAGCCTTGGCTGCTTGAATATGTAAAGACACAAGTGCTGATAAAACTGTACAAGCCATCTGTCACTGAATTTAAATGTTTTGAAAGCAAACACAAAAGTACATAACAAAACACTCCTTTGAATGGCCTTGGTAAATATTTACATCAGCTCTTACTGTCCCTACCTCTCCACATTCTCTACTTAAGCACCACCCCATTCCCAGAGAGAGAGAAATAGTGTGTGTGTGTGTGTGTGTGTGTGTGTGTGTGTGTACACGTGTGTGTGTCAGAGACTCAGTCCTTGTTGTTTTGGGTGTGAACAGCTGTCAGGCAGCTGTATGAACTGATGCCTTGAAAGGAAAGAGGTTTAAGAGGGAAATTATCTGTGTCAATAGAATCCTGACTATACCTAAATGGTCAGAAATTTGATTGGTCTTTTATCTTATTTTATTACACCCAGAAGCTAAACTGTTGTTTCATTGATTAACTTACTGCTGTAATTAGCAAGTAGCTTCTGGCATGTTGACCAGCTGCTTTTCAACCTGCTTCTTCAAAATTCTCTAGCTCCAAAAAAGAGAACTAGAGTCATT